TTAGGGTTTTTGGTATACTAGGCTTACTCATTTGTAAACTCATTAAAAGACTGAAGTGGGATGTTCTCTTCAAAATTTGTATATAGGTGCTTTGAAGCAAAAGCAAATAAATATAACCACAACTGAATCATGCTTATACACTAGTAAGTAATGGGAATGACTTACTGTTTGAATCAACTAGCAATAAAATGGTCAGTAGATTAGGGTTTCATTCCTCCAGTTACAGAAAGAAGGGATGTCTTCAGCCATTGAACAAGGCTCAGGGACTGATATTAAACATCACTCTGCACCTCTGTTGGCCTTGATTATGCAAATGGCATTGCCATTAAACTTCGAGCAACAGTTCATATACTGCTGTAGACAGTAGAACCTGTTTGATCTCCTTTTCATTATGCAGACTTTCCTCAAAGGATGGCAGTTCTGAAAGCAGCAGCTTCCCTTCAGAGCTGGCATCAGCCTTGACCCTTAATTTGATGTGTAGATTGTCTCGAAGGTCAGTATTGCAGCCACTATTATAAATATAGCCTGAAAAAAAAATATTTCTTCATTAATTTTTTCTTTGTTACAGTAGCACAAATTAAATTGCAACTCATAGTGTCTTAAGGCCACAAGGTACCATTATGATCATCCTGCATAAAACAAACTTTGCCCAGTAAATTCTATATTTTTTTAGAAATCTACCTATTCTTTAAATCAGGACAGCAAGTCATAGAGAATTCACCATGTCTCCATGTAAATAGTGCTAACTTTGCTTCTAAAAGTTGGTCTTATTTCTAGACTAAAGAGCTAGTTTTAGCTCTCTGCTGTTGGATCTCATTATACTGCCCGCTTCTTTTATTAGTTAAAGCTGGCTACTGTACAAAACCTCTTTTTCATGTATGTACTGATAGACTATGACTAAGGAAACTTTCAGCCTTCTCTTGGATAAACTGTGACTCAATCTTCACAACCCTAGAGGTTCAAAACTCTTGAGTTCAAGCCTCAAAAATACTGATTAAAAAATAATTAAAAGGGTTATTTTTTTGGCTACTTTCTGATTTATTTTAACTTCCTCCCTGTCCCATCCCCGGTATGGGAGAGAGGCTGTTAGTATTGCCTATTTTCCAAAACTCATCCTGCTCCAAGAGCTCTCTCGTTGTTGGTTCCACACCTAGCTGTTCTGCCCTCCCAGCCTCCAAATCCATCCTATTACCCCACAGCAATTCTGCCCTCATCAGCCTCCTTGTCAATTCTGCCTCACCACAGTTCCATGAGATTCTTCACCTTGTTCCTGAGCGGGGTTGCAGGTAGAAGTGAAGAGGGGGAAGGCAAGAAAATGGAGGTGCTTTTGGGGGCTGGATATTTGCTGTTCCCACTCCCCTTCTCTGGGAACTGTCCGGGGTTGGCTTAAGGCAGGGGTTTTCTAACTTTTTTGGTCTGTGTACCCCCAGCAGCCAGTGGAGAAGCGGGGAGTCCCCCAGAAGCCAAGTGAACAGGGATGGGGGTCCCCTGGTGGCTGATCAACAATGGAGGTTGGCGGGGGCCCGCACAGCATTCAGCAGCAAAACCAGAAGTGCTGGTGGTGCGCAGTGGCGCAACTAGAAGTTTAGTGGTTTCTCTGTACCGCTGCCATGTACCTCCTGGGGCATTCCCAAGTACCCCCAAGGATACTCATACCCCTTATGGACAACCCCTTGCTTGAGGGATGTGGAAGAAGAAAGCTCTGCCCTCTGGACTCTAATTGGCTGTTGTACCATTGGACGTGGGCAAGTGGGGCAGGCACCCAAAGAGGTGTCCTCCCACCAGGCCTGGCTGGAATTTGCTAGAGACTTGGAGCTTCCCATTTCACGAGACAGGTTCCAGTTCTGGTCAAAATCACATCACTCACAAGAGAACACCAGACCAGGACTAGAAGTCTACACTACACAGTTTTGTTGGTATACCTATAAATTGTGCCCCCACCTGACTTAGCTAAGCCAGCAAAACTCCTGGGGTAGATACAGATATGCCAGCACAAGAGTGCTTTTGTTGGCATGGATTATGTGATTTGCAGTGTTGGGGTAACTATAACAGCATAAAAACTTCTATCAGCATATGCTGCAACTACACTAGCTCTGCTTTACAGAGATATGCTTTTAGCCTAGACAAGCCCACAGTCTTCTAACAGTGGTCTCATGAAAGATATCTACAGGAGTATCCCATGTGCCTACATTGATATTTCACAGCTTATGCACCCAAGCAGTGTGTTTTCTGTTTAACTAAAGCATTGACTGGGGGCTTGCATTCAGTTGGTTATTCACTATTATCTTCATAGATTCATAGATGTTAGGGTCAGAAGGGACCTCAATAGATCATCGAGTCCGACCCCCTGCATAGGCAGGAAAGA